AAAAATACATAGTAATAAATACATAGTAAATACATAGACAATTACAATTTCTTATATATTAAATCAACTTGTAGTAGATAATGAAATTTGATGTTCATCACAGTCCAATTGATTTTTAGTATTTGTTTTTAAATCATTTTGTAACGAAGCGTGCATTGTACATTTTTCTGATATTTCTAAATGCTTTGTAGTATTCTGACGCTCGAATATCTTTAGATCATATTCTTTTTGTGTCAGCAAGGATTCTTTCATTTTATCTAAAAGTTTTATGTTTGGAAGCACTATAGCTAAGTAACCACCTTTATGTGGAGGTTCTAACAAAAGTTTTGGATTTTGTAATAATGCTTCATTCACTTCCACTAATTTCCCAATTATGCAACATTTTATAGTATATGTTTTGCCATTTGAACAAGTAATTATGCAAATATTAGAATTTGTTTGCAAAGGTTGAGCACCATGTTTACTCTTACCTGAAACTTTGTTCAAAACTCTATCTAGTTTATTACTAACTTTAAAGTCTACTTCTGTTATTTGTACATCATTTCGAAGAGCTACATGACTTGGAGCCAAAGTAAGCATACAAATGCGATTACTGTGCATTAAAATGCAAATATCATCTGCAGGGCATTGTACATTTAATTTATAATAAGCAGTAAAATATCTCTCTGTAATTGTAGGAAATGATCCTTGATATTTTACTCCTTGTAACATATCTGTTATGTCATCATCTGGAGGAAATGGAAATAAATTGTCATCCTCGTCATTATTCGATAGTGACATTGCATCACCTTTTTTATCTGTTAAAAGTACATTCTCTCGATGTCCAGAATTTTGATCTGTATTACTTTTCTCATCTAAAGCATTGCTTGAATCATTTTCTATGTCCTTAGATTTAATTCTCTTTATAATTGGTTCAGTGTCATCTGAATTAACACTCATTATCAAACAATAAGCTTTATTGTATATAAATTCAATAACACTCTGAAGATTTATTTAACACTTTAACAGAATCAAAATGTTTTCTGTTAAATGTACGTTTTACATTAAATTATAACACCAACAATGTTGACGCGTACTTTTCTTTGGAGAATTAATGATTTTCTTTTTTTAATAGTTCTCTTTGCTATAATAAAGTATTAAGTGATTAATTGCATATTCCAATATATAAATTGATTTAACGAAAAACAAGAGAATCAAATCTCTTACAATTATTTGATAACATTAATATTTTTAATTACATACAAAAATTTCTTGTTTCACAATATAATTATACACACTAGCTGATAACAACAATCACAAAAATTGTTAGGTTATGTTCTCACTCGATTAATTCACGTGCAATGCACATCAATGCAGTTTTTCGAAATTTCGGTATTTGAAAGAATTAGCCGCAAGCAATAATCATTACAGTCATGTCTTTTTTATTTTAGAATATTGAAAATATTAAGTACAAAAAAATATTAAAACATAATTACTATAAAAAAACGAATAAAGACAACT